GAATCTTAGATGGTCTTTTAATAAAAACCCTGTACCAGATATTGAGGTGAAAGCTGAAATATCAGAGAAGCAGAGCAAGCCACAACCGCCACCTCTTACCTCACCAATTCCACCAATCCTCTGACTGAAATCCTCTGAGTCTTCACCCTAAAGGGTCTCAGCTGAACCGCTTTAGTTCCTGTTTTCTCACACCTTATATACCTTTCTCCGCCCAGCCATGTCACGTCCTGGGATTAAAGGCGTGTGTGCTCCCCATTACTGGGTTTAAAGTTGTGTGCCACCACTGCCTGGCTCTGTTTCCAGTGTGGCCTTGAACTCACAGAGATCTCGGCCTCCTGAGTGATAGGATTAAGGGTGTGGGCCACCACTGTCTGGCCTCTGTGTCTAATCTAGTGGCTGGCTCTGTCCTCTGATCCTCAGGCAAGCTTTATTAGGGGACACAACACACACACAACACACACACACACACACACACACACACCCCTTTGTAAAAAGCCATGCTAATGAGCACTATAGGAGCGATGTCATTCACATACCAAGTTTTACTCACCAGAGACTGGCAATTGGAACTGTAGTGAATCGGAGTAAACTGTGAAGTAGCCCTTCTCTTCCGAGAGCTTCCACTTCTACCCTGACAGATCTCTGAGGAATGTCTCTAGAGCTTGCCACCCTAGTCTATAGCTTCAATTCTCATCATTCCTTCACAAATTTATTGTTCTTTGTGTAAAACGTATAAAAGCACCATTTCCTTCGGACTTCACTGTGTGTGTTTACATGTGTGCACTCAGCAACAATCCTGCTGCCAGCCCTATGTGTCACCCTGGCAATGTGACTTTGAGACTTCTTTCATTAAAAGATAGGCTCATCTGGATGTGGTGGCACACACCTTTAATCTCAGCACTCCAGAGGCGGAGGTATGCAGCTTTCTGTGAGAGTCCAAGACTAGTCTGGTTTATATAGGGAGTTTCTGGCCACTAAGTAAGACCCACGTCATTTTTTTTAAAAAAAAAAAAAGAAAGAAATAAAAGAAAAGAAAGGAAAGGTAGACTCTATCTTCCCAGCCTTTGAATTTTTGTTGACATTAAAAATTGCCAGCAGAATATGGCAGAAGTAACAATATAATAGATTTGACTTAAGCATTAATGTGCACCTGCCCTTTGGAAAAACACTTGATTATACTGTCCTGAAATGAATCTGCCTTCCAACCCATGGGAGAGAGTCATATCACCCCGAAATAACTCCAAGAATGGAGGGATATACTAGTTTATTACCCCACTGTGTAAAGTTAATCTGCTTCTAGCTCTTAGCAGATTTGTAAACACCCACAAACAAAGCTGTCCGTGCCATTTGCTCAGAGATGACAGACATCCCAACAGTTTGTCACAGTTAGCAGAGCTAACTGATTTGCAGTGCAATAAATCTGCCACCACAGAGTGCTCGTGGGATGGAGAGGTAGCTCCGTTGTAGGCTGTGTGTCTATCATGTGTGAAGCCCTCTGTTCAATCCACAGCATCCCCAAAGGAACCAGATGTGGTGGCACTTGCCTGTAATACCAGCGTTTGGGAGGTGGAACCAGGAGAATAAGGAGTTCAAGGTCCTCCTCAGCTACATAGCAATTTGGAGGCCAGCCTACATTACATGAGACCTTGTTTCTTAAGGAGAGTCCCCTGCAAAATGATGCACTTTCAGGAGCTAAGCATCAGTCTTTGCTATGCACAGGTGAGATGTGTATCAGTGGCAAGATTAGCTTCAGTGGGAAAAAGTCCAGACTGTAGAACCCATCCCTAACCTCCAACCTGTCTTTGTAGCATT